TGTGGCCACAATTAACATTTAGGCTAGTTGTCGTTAGGCCGTAGAACAAATAATACAATCCCGTACGTGTCTTAAGTAAATTTACCATCTAAATAGATGATTAATTTCATTATTTTCTCCAAAGAGAATTTACAGTGCTTGAATATAAATTGCTCAGATATTAGCTGATAATTTCCACTGTTGTCCTCATAATTTAGGATGTATTTGTAGTTACTTATTATGTAGATTTCTACAGTGTATTTGCCTTTCAGTACCAAGGCGACGCCAACCGAGGTGCTAGGCTTCCCCACCGTTCCGTGCAACAATTTGCCCTATGCAACACGTCGTCGGTGGAGCGTAGCAACTGATTACACCTCACTAGATTTACAGCTAAGCTGTCCCTATTTTATCTGTAGCAATAATTCTGTAGTTACAGTAGTGATTTCTCAAAAAGATCAACTACACTAACCCATTGATTTACTGATGCTGTTCATCATTTCAGTAGTATATTGAGGAGCATTTACCTCCAATTAATATTATATAATCAACCTTATTTACTTTCATATTTTATTTACTCTGGTGAAGAACCAGCACCAGAATAAGGCTAGGGATGTGTTCATCTTTTAGCTTGTAACCCCCCAATTTTGTGTAAGTTAATTTTACTCCATTTATATAAGAAATACAGTTTCACTAAGATCCATAGGACACTAGTTCTAGGGATCAGTTTTTCCATTGCTTTATTTTGTTTTCCACTTTTTCTCAAAAAGTGGTGGTCCTTCATAGCTATCGAAGTATATATTTAATTATTAGTTATTGGAGTCAGGTTTTTCCCCACAGTTATTGTGACTGTAATTGTGACTGTTATTGTGGCTGTTATTGTGACTGTAATTGTGACTGTTATTGTAACTGTTGTTGTGACTGTTGTTGTGACTGTTATTGTGGCTGTTATTGTGACAGTTATTGTGGCTGTTATTGTGACTGTTATTGAGGCTGTTATTGTGACTGTTATTGTGGCTGTTATTGTGGCTGTTATTGTGACTGTTGTTGTGACTGTTATTGTGACTGTTATTGTGACTGTTATTGTAGCTGTTATTGTGGCTGTTATTGTAACTGTTGTTGTGGCTGTTATTGTGACTGTAATTGTGACTGTTATTGTAACTGTTGTTGTGACTGTTGTTGTGACTGTTATTGTGACTGTTATTGTAACTGTTGTTGTGACTGTTATTGTGGCTGTTATTGTGGCTGTTATTGTGACTGTTATTGTGACTGTTATTGTGGCTGTTATTGTGACTGTTATTGTGACTGTTATTGTAACTGTTGTTGTGACTGTTATTGTGACTGTTATTGTAACTGTTGTTGTGACTGTTATTGTGGCTGTTATTGTAACTGTTATTGTGGCTGTTATTGTAACTGTTGTTGTGGCTGTTATTGTGACTGTTATTGTGGCTGTTATTGTGACTGTTATTGTGGCTGTTATTGTGACTGTTATTGTGGCTGTTATTGTAACTGTTGTTGTGGCTATCACCGAGGCGCGACAAAATGTGGACAACGATGCCACTGTCAGGAGGGGAATAATAACTACTCCATGGGATAGTTACAGACACAGTCAAACGCCCAAGGAGGATTACCACCCTCTAGATATAAGGACCATCTTGAACGACATTTCTCATTCTCTGAACATTTCAGTAAATACATCCAAAGAGCATCTGATCAACGAGACTATGATAGACTGCATGCATCGGTGTCCACCTGTCAGGTCAACCTGACTAATAAATATGAGTTAACAAGGACGGGCGCCGGGGACATTAAACTCTGGATCACCTGAAGATAAAGTTAAGGTAAAGATGATGGGTAGTGACTCTTACACCGTATCGTCGTAAGGAAAGTCCAGATTGTTATCGTCTAGGTCTGATAAGCTTTCTTGTCAATAAGTCGGCGTCTCGTTGCTGTCGGTCAACAACATCAGGTTGCATTATAGGGATTTCATTGCAGGGAATTTCAGCTCTTTGGCCTTCACTAAGTCTTAAGAATGATATCATACGTGGGTTGTTTTGCACTGTACCCAGCGGTACGCAGTTTTTCTAAAGGCACAGTCGTGGCTCTAATTATATATTTAAACACCCACAATCACTGTATGGCATCCTTCCCCGAAGCACTCCGAGGCGGGGTAGCCTGGCAAAAGACCCATGTATTTGTTTTTTTTTGAGAGAGATAGTTACGGATCAGAGACCACTGAGAGTGAGGTGATAACAGCTTCATTTATTTTAATTTTATTTTTGATGTTTTTATCTATATATTTATATACAAGAAGGTACTTTCGGTTGTGAGAGAACATAACATTGGTGTTCATACAGTCTTGCAAAGCCAGTAACACGCCTGGTGTTTCTGGCAGACTGTGGCACTTACCACTTCTCAGCAACACTTGTGATGTGATTATTCCTATTATTCATAAAGTTACTGCACTTCCCTAGTGTTCCCATGAAGCTGCAGTAAAAGTATAAAACCAAGGTTACGGATGAGACCTGCAGACTTTATCAGAACATTGTCTGACACCACCTTGAGGAAGGAGGCAGGTTTCATCCGAATATTTAGTTTAATAATACACTTACACGTCTTGGATCTTTGCACACAGAAATTACATTAACGTGATGTATCATACACCTGGAGGGTCACAGCCCCATACACCTGGAGGGTCACAGCCCCATACACCTGGAGGGTCACATCCCCATACACCTGGAGGGTCACAGCCCCATACACCTGGAGGGTCACAGCCCCATACACCTGGAGGGTCACAGCCCCATACACCTGGAGGGTCACAGCCCCATACACCTGGAGGGTCACAGCCCCATACACCTGGAGGGTCACAGCCCCATACACCTGGAGGGTCACAGCCCCATACACCTGGAGGGTCACAGCCCCATACACCTGGAGGGTCACAGCCCCATACACCTGGAGGGTCACAGCCCCATACACCTGGAGGGTCACAGCCCCATACACCTGGAGGGTCACAGCCCCATACACCTGGAGGGTCACAGCCCCATACACCTGGAGGGTCACAGCCCCATACACCTGGAGGGTCACAGCCCCATACACCTGGAGGGTCACAGCCCCATACACCTGGAGGGTCACAGCCCCATACACCTGGAGGGTCACAGCCCCATACACCTGGAGGGTCACAGCCCCATACACCTGGAGGGTCACAGCCCCATACACCTGGAGGGTCACAGCCCCATATTCATTGTCACAATAAATAATATTGCAGTGTTATGTCAAATGATTAATAATTTACTCCAACCCTCATCAATCACTGAGTGACGGATAATATATGCAATTTTATTCAATACTGGACCATTCAGGCTGATGTAATCTTTATTAAACAACAGAGTTGGATTTCGTTTAGTGACGCATATATCTCGCATCTATATATATATATATATATATATATATATATATATATATATATATATATATATATATATATATATATATATATATATATATGCAATTGACGATCACAAAACACTGATCATTTTATGCGGAAAATCCACAGAGAAATATGAAATGAGGTGAACGAGGTGAAGGTGAACGAGGTGAGGTGAACGTTCACCTCATTTCATATTTCTCTGTGGATTTCCGCATATATATATATATATATATATATATATATATATATATATATATATATATATATATATATATATATATATATATATATATATATGCGAACAAGCCTGAATGGTCCCCAGGACAATATGCAACTGAAAACTCACACCCCAGAAGTGACTCGAACCCATACTCCCAGGAGCCACGCAACTGGTATGTACAAGACGCCTTAATCCACTTGACCATCACGACCGGACATAATGAGGTGATAGCCGAGGCTATTTGAACCACCCCACCGCCGGCACTCGGATAGTAATCTTGGGCATAGCATTTTACCAAATCACCTCATTCTTTGGGGCACACGTGAGGAACACAAAAACACAGTTTGTGTTCCTCACGTGTGCCCCAAAGAATGAGGTGATTTGGTAAAATGCTATGCCCAAGATTACTATCCGAGTGCCGGCGGTGGGGTGGTTCAAATAGCCTCGGCTATCACCTCATTATGTCCGGTCGTGATGGTCAAGTGGATTAAGGCGTCTTGTACATACCAGTTGCGTGGCTCCTGGGAGTATGGGTTCGAGTCACTTCTGGGGTGTGAGTTTTCAGTTATATATATATATATATATATATATATATATATATATATATATATATATATATATATATATATATATATATATATATATATATATATATATATATATATATATATATATATATATATATATATATATATATATATATATATATATACATTTTGGTAGCAGTCTAAATATACAATATATATTTTGGTAGCAGTCTTTCTTGTAAACATATGTTGAATATGACCGAAAAGGTAAGATTAATAATTCTAACACGAATTTTCTCAATATTTCTTATGTTTTTCTTCACTGTCGGTGGTAATAAATAAATTTTTATTACTATTATTATTTTTTATTAGGACTATTTTACAGGAACTTCTTTTCGACGGCTCATAAAACGGAGGAAAGGGTCCTGAAAAATATTGTTGATAGGAACGTCATTCCTACAGACAAAAATCAGAAAACACAATTGATAATTTATTATAAAACCAAAAAAACGACCAATCTACTCATGAAAAACTCCCCAGACACCAAGCAGAACGCTTTGAAGGAGACCAACGTCATCTATGCCTTTAAATGCCCACTTGGGGACTGTAAGCCCCAAAGAACTCAGTATATAGGCAAGACAACAACGTCTCTTTCCAGGCGACTAACAATGCATAAGCAATAGGGAGCCATCAAGGAACACATAATCTCTTCTCACAACCAGACCATCACCAGATAAATCTTAACAAACAACACAGAAATCACCGATAGAGACAGTGATTGCAGGCGGCTTGACATCAGCGAGGCACTACACATCAAAAAGTCAACACCAGCAATCAACAGTCAATTAATGCTAAACTATATTCTACCCACTTCAAGTCTTCAAGTATGTGTGTGTGTGTGTGTGTGTACGCGCGCGTTGCGTGCGTGCGGTCGTGCGGACACCTTGGGGGAGGGAGGTGTTGTGGGTGGAGATGAACACAATAAGAATTAGCAACACAGTTCAGAGATCTAGTGACAGTATAACACAGATGCAGATCTATGCCCCCAGCGTCTTCAAATGAACATGTGTGGAACAGAAACGTTTCGACACTACATTTATTTTTAACTTCCCCTCGTGATATATAAACGTTTACAACCATATAAAACATTTTTTTTTAGTTGTCACCAAGTCAGACATTACGTGTCCCTGTCGTTACAGCACAAACGTTTCGTTCTCGTTCATACGAATAACATCGAATATCCTGACCTCTGGAAACCCCGCTTCGATTAACAAGGTGGAAACGGATGGATAACTTAGCCAATATTGTAGATAATACATATGCGAATGAGCTTACAAAAACACGCCGAGATCGTTTTCCTTTCCTGGTGGGCTTATCTTACAGGATGTCCTCTGAGCTCTCACAACTGGCACTGGTGGCACTGGTGCCTCAGTGGGGTCTGAAAGCAGTGCTTCCAAGGGGGGGACCAGCAGTGATGTCGTGGACAATCTGCAGGAGAGTTGGAGATTGTCAGTTCTAGAAGGTATGATGTGCAATTGAATGTTTCTGGTTGGCAGTGACCGGCCAGTTTATGGTGGAGGGTAGCGGTAAGCAGTCGGTGGTGGTGACAGGCAGTGACCAGGTGATGATGAGCAGTGAGTAATCAATCACGCAGTGGAGAACACTGACTAATCAGTGAAGAGGAGATGGTTGGGTGGTGACGATCAAGGACCAATCAGCGAGCATGGTGGTTGACTCCTAGCTCACCAATTTGGACGTAGTTCTGGTATTGATGGTGGGCAGTAGCCAATCAGAGGGACAGAGAGTTGTGGATAGTTTCCAGTCCAACCATTGGAGTGGTTTCCAGTCAGTGGGGCAGTAATGGACAGTAACCAACCAATGGGGCAGCGTTGAGAAGCGATCAACGAGAAAGTGGTAGACGGTTACGATTCAATAAGGAAGTATAATGAACAATGATTAGTTATTGTTGACGGCAGAGAACAACAAACAACCACTAATTAACAGTGGTTAACAGTAAGTAAACAATGACAGCTATACTACTGGTGGTAATGCAACATTAATCCCCTGTACACACCCCTTCCCCTCCCCAATAACCAATCACGAATCCTTCACAGAGAACACGCAGCCCAGAGACGAGAGAGAGAGACACACAGAGCGACGAACAAAGCTCTGACGTCGGACGGGAAACCGCTGATACCAGCCCCCTTCCCACAACGTCAAGTACCAGTGATCATCATGTGGGGGCTGGTGCTGTTGTTTCTGCTCTGTGCCGGCTTCCCCATCTGCCGCGCCCAGACCCCAGGCGAGTCCCGGTCAACTACAATGATTACCTTGATGTAGTGACAGTAGATGTTTGGTGTAGAGCTTAACGCCTATACACTCCCAGGATGGTTATTAATGCCTCCCAAAAAGCTTATGACCAACCAGCAAGAATAATTTATTCAATCCTCAGTTGAATGTCATATAAACTGGAAGTTGTAGAATAATGTTTACAATTTATTATAGTTTGCAACAATGTAAGAGTTTATAATAATACAAACTCTCAGTTTACACGTAACGAGAAATGGGTTACATCTCTCAGTGTATATATCCTCTATATATTGGATGATAACCGACATCATTTCGGTAAATATTTTTTTTTTTTGCAAGAAAACCAAAATGAATGAAAATGAATGGTAAAAAATAAACGTATGGTGTCAAAAAAATAGACGAGTATGATATAAAAAACGATGAGTATGATATAAAAATAGATGTATATGATATAACAAAAATGTATATGATATAAGAAAAATGTATATGAATAAAAAAATAGTGGTATTATGCAAAATAAAAGTAAGATATAAAATCTAACACGGAAGCAAGGACAAATAACGTATTATCTTGACGTTGAAGAGAGGGACAGAGAGGTAGACAATAGGTAAGATAAGACCCAGGTGCCACACACACACACACACACGCACATTGAGCTCCACCGGTGAAATGTTTCATGGAGTATGTTGGAATGCACGACATAATAGAAGATCATAATTAAGCTCCGTATTGGTATGCAATATGTCATGGCGTATGTTGGATAGTACGCAATATATAATGGGTTATGTTGGATAGTGCGCAATATGCAATTGCGTATGTTGGATGGTATACAGTATGTCATGGCGTGTTTTGGATAGTACACAATATATCATGGCGAATGCTGGATAGTATACAATATGTCTTACGCTATTTTATGACTGTTTCAGGCCATAGTGTCTTACGGTATTACACAACTGTGTTATGTGAACATTCAGGATGATGTGAATGTCAAGTGGCCCCAAGACAGTGTCAAGTGGCCCAAGACAGTGTCAAGTGGCCCCAAGACAGTGTCAAGTGGCCCAAGACAGTGTCAAGTGGCTCCAAGACAGTGTCAAGTGGCCCAAGACAGTGTCAAGTGGCCCAAGATAGTGTCAAGTGGCCCAAGACAGTGTCAAGTGGTTCAAGACAGTGTCAAGTGGCCCAAAACAGTGTCAAGTGGCCCAAGATAGTGTCAAGTGACCCAAGACAGTGTCAAGTGGTTCAAGACAGTGTCAAGTGGTTCAAGACAGTGTCAAGTGGTTCAAGACAGTGTCAAGTGGCCCAAGACAGTGTCAAGTGGCCCAAGATAGTGTCAAGTGGCCCAAGATAGTGTCAAGTGACCCAAGACAGTGTCAAGTGGTTCAAGACAGTGTCAAGTGGTTCAAGACAGTGTCAAGTGGTTCAAGACAGTGTCAAGTGGCCCAAGACAGTGTCAAGGAAACATCTTGATAACGGTTCTTTTCAACCAAAATTTCTCCTGGAAAAAATTGCGTTACGTGAAGAAACATCTTATATAGAGGTGCGTCTTATACAGAGGTTAGTCTTATACGACGGTGCATCTTATACGGAGGTGCGTCTTATACGACGGTGCGTCTTAGACAGCCGTGCGTTTTATACGACGGTGCGTCTTAGACAGCCGTGCGTCTTATACGACGGTGCGTCTTAGACAGCCGTGCGTCTTATACGACGGTGCGTCTTAGACAGCCGTGCGTCTTATACGACGGTGCGTCTTAGACAGCCGTGCGTCTTATACGACATTCATCAGTGGATGAAGCGATTTTCATCATTCGTTTTCAAACCCCAGGAAAACCAGAAAAAAATAAGTCGATCAATATTATTAGAGACCAAATTATGTCCTTTTAAATTTGCTTTCAATGTTGATTTAACACTGTCTTAAAAGGAAGTATTGATATTCAGCAGGTATAAACCGCTCATAAAACAAAGTATTGATATTCATTAGGTATTGCTACTCTACAGGAAAGACAAGCTTCACGACGAATCGAACTTGCAGTGTTATACTAAGTTTGAATGTTTCTTCTGGCGTCTTTGAGGTGTCCACCACAGCTGCAGCACCTGACACCCAACACACCTACCACCTCCTGACCACAGTGAAGAGCGGTAGTCACCTCTATCTGCCCCAGAAGGTAAGTCTACGTAGGAGAGAGATAGAGAAATAGAGATGAGGAAGGGGGAGAGAGAGGGAGACAGAGAGGAGGAGTGTGTGAGAGGGACACTCACTCACCCATAAGAACAAAATAAGAAGATAATCAAGGTGTATGAAAGTACGAAAACAGTTTTCTTTTATTAAATCACAGGTAAAGTAATCAAGAAACTGGACACTAAACAATGCATATAAACGTGATTAGATTACAAGTGTTTATTTCGTTTGTCATATTTCCAATAACACAAATTTTTTGAATTAAGAATTATTCTTCATTTGTCATTTTCGGTCATTTTAATTGCTAACATTTACCAAGAAATTTCCTCATCTCTCTTATCCAAGATAATTAATTTTGTTAATTTTAATATCTGCATTCAATGATTTTCAAATCGTTAGGACATTTTCATAACATGTATTATTGTTTCCATCAATTCCACATTGTTTCTATATTCTTTGCTAAACGTATAATTTATGTGATAATAACTAACAGTGGTTGAATTTCTATATTTACTGAAATGTTAAAATCAAGCTGTCTTAGTTTTAACATGTACACAAAAACAAAACCAATCATGAACAAGCTTCATTTAATCTGCTCCCGTAAGAACTTAATAACTCGTCGGAAGACTAACTCGTCATTAATACTTCTGACGTACTTAACTATGTTTACTTTAACAACTTTTCTACACAGCACAAACAGATTTTTTATCTTACTCTACCTTTCACAACCTCACACGATATACACTGAATACTTCATACAGTTTTAAGTCTTTCGTATTACTAAAACTATTGATTCATGTACTTGACAGGGATTCATGGTTCCGGAATCATTCTTCGGGGGATTCTCTCGTCCGCGCCCTACCTACTTTACTGAATACAGTCTCTTGAGTGTCTTGGTGGAGTCTGAGGACTCTCGGCAGTGGAACACTTCTGGGGCAGCGTCCGTGGGCAGTAAGTTTGATTTAAAATGACCTTTAAAAGAAAATATGTAATTGTAATGAATCTTTAGAAAAATTAATAATTGAGTGACATAATCACAGAAAAATGAAGGTTTGTATAATGTACTTAATACAAAAAAAAATATATATATATTTCTTCCCCATGTCTGCATATGGCCATAAACTAACAAGACATGGGGTTTAGTCGTGTACTTAGCACTTCACTCTGTTTCTTGCAACAATTAGTGGCTAATGTGAATCACGTGGCCTTTTGGGACTTGCTGGTAGAGTTAGTGGTCACGTGGTAGGCTCGATGTCGGCTCAACAACCTCGTGACGTGTTAACTCCCGAGCCGCGCACTCTTAACACACAATCATGGCTGTCTCCCTTGTTTATAAATCCTGCTTCCTCCTCTCCAACACGGGAGACATCTCCCGTCACGCAGGGTGCAGTCGCACCTTCACAGATCTCCAGTATCAGCTCTTGATACTGGTAATGGCACAAAAGGGCCACCACTTACGGGCCATTCATGCCCGTGCCACCTTTTGGGTGGCTTAATCTTTATCAATCACTCAATCCCTCCTCTCGAGGTTGTAACATTCGAGATTCGTTAAGAAGAGTGGGTTGGAGGTAAGATCTATTTTAGATATTATTAATTTAGTAGATTCATTTTATAGTGTAACCAGCCCTAGGATAGGTGTATTTTATATTAAATTAGCCAAAACGTTGGCTGAGATATTGTGTATATGACCTTGGGTACGTAACCCAGTTTTGTGTAACTTATATGACTAATGTAAATTAACAAATTTTATGACTGTTACTTAGAATTTGTATATGAGGTGGAAATTTCCCACACCGTAAGAACAAAGTTATTAAGTTGTCTTCAATGCAAACAATTTAGACACTGAGACAAATAAGTTGAGTATATTTGTTACAACTACTCACAAGAAACAACTCACTCTGACGCTCGACCTTCACCTCAACCTCCCTCCTCCAGGGCGCTATTCCTGCTCGGCCTCCGCACCAACATTAACCAGACCGACCTTCTGCCCGAGGCCCACCGCCACCCTGCCATGCTATCGCATCGGACGAGGGTGGACGCCCATCATGCTGGCGTCCGTCCTGGGCGTCGTGTTCCTCATCACGCTGTGTCTGGCCGCTCTGGCTTGTCTGCAGCACAAGGAAATCTCCAGACTACAACAACGCATAGGTACGTAGATTTTAACCAATTCCGACAAACGCACAGTGTTATCGCAATTGCAGTAGGCATCCTTCAGTCTCGGGAGACTATGGAGTTGCGCTCTGGTTGTTAATCCTGGTGCAGCGTCTGGTGTGACTGATGAGGCCAATCCAAGAATGGAAGTCCATCCCACACTGAGCACAAACTAAGTCCGATTCAGGTCTGTCTTCCTGGCTACCGGCTATCCTGATCCTAGAAGCCTGGTCTCTTGGAGAGCAGCAATATCCATCTGCAGTTTACTAAGCTACCTATCGATGATTGCTGTTTTTCGGGCGTCGTTGATTTCTTGCAGGTCGTCAGAGAAACCTGATGTAATTATCCTGACGTTCCATGTGCTCAGCATTAGGGCAGTTGATATTTTCTTTTTGGGTTTGGTATTGCTTGGTGCAAAGTTGTCGGGCCGCTTGTCGGTTTTCATCCTAAACCCCACGTACCCATTAAGGTTAACGGACCATGGCGTGGCAGCACCTTAGTGGCTGGAGTTTGCCCAGTTGAGGCGAGCGGTAGCTGCCCAGTGGGGCGCGATGACCCCTCCCACCGTCAGAAGCAACCCCTGGCGTCACACTCTTCGCCAATCGAGCAGAATACTTAAAACCGGTAGACTGTCGCTTCCTGTGTTAGTTCGACGCTGTGAGGCGAAGCTGGAGTGTCCTCTCTAGAGCGCAAAACCTGGGTAGGATATGGAGGAGAAGCTGTTACCCATGCAGCAGGTCCCCCCCCCCCTCTCCACGTTGCTGAAATTATCCAATGGAAAGGCAAATGCCAATAAACATGGTTCCAGCACTCCGTTCTGGTTTTCGACCTCCGGATTCTAAATCAACAACAAACTGCCTTAGGGGCTCCAATTCCGGATTTTTCCTCTAAGTTGACTCCTGAAGCCTTTCCCAAAAGATGGATATGGGCGGAGGTTTAAAATCAGGGTTTTCCTTCCACTAGATGGGCTGCCTTCCCAGGCTATCGAGTCCCATTTATCCCGAGCAGGTGGTTTTAAGGCGCCAGAGGCACGCCCTCGCACCTTCTCCTGTCAGCAAAAGCAGTTCCGCCGGAATTAAAGACTAAGCCACCCATGCAAGCCAGGAGTTGGACTAGGTTGTCAGAGGCTATTTGAGACGCACGCCATATAGGTGCTTTTTGTAGGTCATGAGAGTTTGTCCCCCATTACCACCCCATGGCTATGACAACCAATTAGAACCGCACAGTGTTATATTTACGTTATAACGAAGTAATGACGTTATTACTGCGTTTTCGTTGTTTTGTGTGTTTGCTGAGATGCTTTGCTTAAGCCTCCATATAACATGGTCTATAATGATGCCGGGGCTGTTGATTTTATTCTCTTGATTTACCAATCCACGAGAAATGCAACTGTTTTGTTTAGCGAGAAACCTACGAATCCAAGCAACCAACTGAAACAATCGAGAACCATAGCTAGAAAACGGTCATTTTTACGCTACTTTAATTTGACTGCTAGGTCGCATTTCTAGCGGATTGAGCAATTCCTTAAAAATTGGCAAGTTGAGTTACAATGGGGGGGGGGGGCAGGGAATAAAGACTACCTAGCACTGCGGCCATTGTGAAACACTGGTCGTTAATAAGGTGTCTTCTCGCATTTTTGTGGAGGATTACATCATTACATAAATATTTAAATAATTTAGTAATTAATTTATCTTTTTTATTGTATTTGAATACGAAGAGAGAGAGTTTATTTTACTTCCGTTAATGACACCGTTTGACCTTTGTTATCACGAGGATGCTTGCCACTAGTAATGTTCTCACTCACGCGTGCACGCACGCACGTACACACGCACGCACGCACTCACCCCCCCCACACACGTATACACACACACACACACACACACACACACACACACACACGTACACACACAAGTTATTGTGTTTGTGCACAAATAGGTGAGCACACACATACACATACACTCTATTCATAATTTTAAAACTAGATATGATAGGGAAATAAGAAATGAGTCATTGCAATAAGTAACCGATGGCTAGAAAGGCGGGATCCAAGAGTCTATGCTCGATCCTGCAGGCACAAATAGGTGAGTACACGCACACACACACACACACACACGAGTGCACACGCACACACACAAGCACTAACAAATGGAATGCATTTGGCAGTGATAAGATGGAGGCTAACTCCATACACAGTTCCCAATATAGATATAATAGAGACCCATAGGCTTAGGAATATGTACACCAGTTGATTGATGATTCATAGGTGGGACCAAAGAGCTAAAACTAACCCCCCCCCCCTCCCCAGCACTATTAGGTGAACACACACAACACATGTAAAATTTTATCTATAACGAAAAAATATATATGCTTATTATGAAATGAGGGAATGTTTAGTGTGGGATGTTTAGTGTAGTAATGTTTAGTGTGCGATTGTTTAGTGTGCGAATGTTTAGTGTAGTAATGTTGCTTGCTAGTGAACATCTTCCGGTGATGATGTAATGAACCTCATGAACATTTGCACTTCACATATATTTCACCTTTGAATACTTATTGAACACTATATAACAAGTTTCTTAATCATGCACCAGTAAAGCCAGTAATCATGCACCAGTAAAGCCAGTAATCATGCACCAGTAAAGCCAGTAATCATGCACCAGTAAAGCCAGTAATCATGCACCAGTAAAGCCAGTAATCATGCACCAGTAAAGCCAGTAATCATGCACCAGTAAAGCCAGTAATCATGCACCAGTAAAGCCAATAATCATGCACCAGTAAAGCCAATAATCATGCACCAGTAAAGCCAGTAATCAAGCACCACTAAAGCCAATAATCATGCACCAGTAAAGCCAGTAATCAAGCACCACTAAAGCCAATAATCATGCACCAGTAAAGCCAATAATCATGCACCAGTAAAGCCAGTAATCATGCACCAGTAAAGCCAGTAATCATGCACCACTAAAGCCAATAATTATGCACCAATAAAGCCAATAATCATGCACCAGTAAAGCCAGTAATCATGCACCACTAAAGCCAATAATCATGCATCAGTAAAGCCAGTAATCATGCACTAATAATCATGCACCAGTAAAGCCAGTAATCATGCACCAGTAAAGCCAGTAATCATGCACCAGTAAAGCCAGTAATCATGCACCAGTAAAGCCAGTAATCATGCATCAGTAAAGCCAGTAATCATGCACCAGTAAAGCCAGTAAAGCCAGTAATCATGCACCAGTAAAGCCAGTAATCATGCATCAGTAAAGCCAGTAATCATGCATCAGTAAAGCCAGTAAAATCATGCACCAGTAAAGCCAGTAATCATGCACCAGTAAAGCCAATCAATCATGCACCAGTAAAGCCAGTAATCATGCACCAGTAAAGCCAGTAATCATGCAACAATAAAGCCAGTAATCATGCACCAGTAAAGCCAGTAATCATGCACCAGTAAAGCCAATAATCATGCACCAGTAAAGCCAATAATCATGCACCAGTAAAGCCAGTAATCAAGCACCAGTAAAGCCAATAATCATGCACCAGTAAAGCCAGTAATCATGCATCAGTAAAGCTGAGTGCTGTGTGATCCCTATTAAATATATTTTTCCATCAAAATGATAAAAATAATTAGGAGAAGGCTTATTAGCCTGTAATTGTATTTGTCTTCATAACTCTCTTTATATATGTGAGAATGAAATACAAAGCATTTCATGCACCATTCTTTAATATTTTTTAAGAGATGTTTTAAAATCCAATATTCCTTATTCAAATGTTTATATTATTTTTATCATCAGGGTTCATAAAAGAGAATGATTGTGTTTGTCCGAGACTGGAGGCCAGACGTTTAGGGCTAGCCTCGTTCAAAACACACGTTGGGCGGAGGGAGGGATATGAGAGTGTGTGATAGGCCGGTCGGGGTTGGCCTCAGTGCCACACTTTAAGAAATGTTGGCATCTAGAGCTTCCACTCCCGGAGACTTTCACGTGGTCGCTTCTGAAATAGAAGTTGTGTTTTCGTAGAGATACTTCGTGGATTCAATGCTTCACTCTACTATTTTTGTTTTAGAGAGAGACAGGAAGAGAGTGAAGGAGAGAAGGGGGAGTAGGATGTTTGAAGAGACGAGTAGAGAAAGGGGAGGAGAAAAGGGGAAGAGGATGGGAGAGACAGGCAAGGGGAAGAGGGGAGAGACTGGGAAAGAGGGTGAAGAGAGAAGGAGAGGGGAAGATTGGAAAATATATACAATAGATGCATCTTCGATTGAATTCATAGCTTCCTTCTCAACACTGAATATTCTATTAATCAATTTTGCTTATAAATTTGCATACAACTTAATGTCCAATAGCATTGTTTCCCTACTGTTGTCACAAATTTAACAAGCGTTAGATATTTACATCTTAATATGTCTTGCAGATATTGTTTTGCTGAACATTGCCAGAGAAAATCAGAAGTTTACCCGGCAGGAGGAAGACGAATCATGCTACACTGATACAAGGACTCAGTCACACACCAGTGGTGCTCCGGGCGACCCGTCACACACCAGTGGTGCTCCAGGGAATGTGTCACAAACTAGTGTCAATGCAGGGGACCCATCACCCACCTATACCACCTTTGCAACAGCTCCCTTGTATGGTAACGAACACATCAACAACCTACTCGAAGCTAGCGACACGAACGCTTACCACATATACGCCAATATCAACGAACTGGTGCCTTTTAGATACGGACCTCTGATCACCGGCCGTTCGACCAATGAGCTCGTTTACCAGACCACCTGTTGAGCGCTGCCGGAGAGCTCGTCAGGGAGCGTTGCTTAGTCTTCCACCATTGGTGACAACAATAGATTTCGTTTCATAATTTTAGGTGGCTATTTAAGCTCATTCTCAAGTACAAGACTGAATGGTAAGAGAAACATTGTTATAGTTTCTAGATGATATCCATGGAAGGATGGAAATTATGAGAAGGCGCTAAGCCAGTATGACTACATTTACTGCGTGGGAAGGATATGAGATATCTAAGATTATGAGGTAAGTTAATTATGAGGAGACTTAAGCACTATGCCAGTATTTATCACATGTAGAAGGATATGGGGATAGGAGCCAGAATAAGGGAAAATGAAGAGAAAATATGTTACCTATTCCTCATCGAGGCCACCGGGGATCGAACGCTGGACTTGCAAGAAGCAAGGCCGACGAGTCCGCGTGCTAGCCAGGGAAGGCATGGAGAGGAATCAGGAAGTGAGTCGTAGAGAAAGCGATCTTCAGCAAGTGTGGGAAGCTTACTTTACCCAACACGTCAAACACCCAACGTAACCACTAAGTTTTTTATTTAATTTTTACGTTGCTAAAACGCTGCAAGATCATAATTACGTTTAAAATACGTTGTGGGTACTTTGTGTGGTTGTTGAGAGAGTGCAGAACTGTCCTAGAAGAAGGGTGCAAACATATAAGTTGTTTATGTGTTTGGCACACATAACTGCTCCACTGCCGCTTCAACCCATCCTCTCAACTAATAGGTCGTGTTTCTTACGTTGCAGCAGCCAACATTACTCATCTTATTAAAAAAGTAATGACTCACAAATTTATACGTTTTCGATGTATTGGACTCGATAGGTTCATTGGGTTGTTTGGGTTCGTTCGTTTATGGATAGGGATAAATGTATGCGTTTTAGACGGAGTGGCAAATTAAGAGTACTGGCTGGTGGCCGACGCCAATATCTCCGACACAGTGTAGCTGAGAGCGGCATTTCTCCTGACGTCAGTGAGACGCAGTGGCCCCCCTACCAGATATAAAGGAATCTCACCTCGTTACGATGTGGCCTCAGTAAACTACGACGTCTTGGGAAAGATCTTAGTTAACAGGAAAATATCTTCTGGAGACCTTAAACAAGTGACTCTTGTGTCAAAGGTTGCTGACTTGCATGAAGTGTGTTGGGCGATATTTTCCCTTGAGTGTATTGTGCTGTCAACAACCCCAAGAGACAACGACCACTACCAACCTCCATCGGCCGTCTTATACCTCATCTCATTCTGTGTTATGCTTATAATACTGTATATTTACTCTCACTCTGCTTACAGGCTATTCATGCCCGTCCCACCTCTTGGTTGGCTTAATCTTCATGAATCAATCAATCTCACTCTGCCTCCGGAGATGTTGATGAGAGCTTCAGCGAAACGCGTCCTTAAGCGTCACGTATAATGCCGAAAAAAACTGTTTAATAGACTTGGGAAAGGATTTTTTTTTAATTTCCGTCCCAAGTGAAGAGGAACACAAAAAATATTGAACATTCGTGAAAGAATTAATGACCTAACTGTAACTCACTCACTCTCTCTCTCTCTCTCTCTCTCTCTCTCTCTCTCTCTCTCTCTCTCTCTCTCTCTCTCTCTCTCTCTCTCTCTCTCTCTCTCTCTCTCTCTCTCTCTCTCTCTCAATATTATGATCGAGATTTGTTTAATTTGCAAAATAATAAAAGTAAAATAAGTACGAGATGTTTAGGAGCAGCCGCCAGGATGAGTTTTATCTTCGAGTTGTTGCTGTTTTTGAGACGCTTGTCCGGCACCACAGACCACCGGATGTGTGTGTGTGTGTGTACTCACCTATTTGTGCCTGCAGAATCGAGCGTTGGCTCTTGGATCTCGCCTTTCTAGCCTTCGGTTGTTTAAAACAATGACCTTCTCCGTCATACCTTGTTTTAAAGCTATGAACAGTGTGTGTTTACAGAATGTGCTCCTTTAGTCTATTTCCCCACTACTCTCACGCTAAAAGAAAACTCTCTAGCATTACTATGACTCATCTGAGTTTCCAGTTTCCACTGCACTTCTCCCAGATAATATCTTATTTTCCTGTAATTCCCTGTCATATAGTCTGCCCTCCTTTTCCCAGACCTCTTGCTCCGTGGTCACAATTTGACCACGGGGCAAGAGGTGTTTTTTCGCACGGGAAAACATGACTCTGTAGATCGACTGGTCACTGAGGCTTGCAGGAAAGAAAACACTGATTATGACGTTGGACTATCTAATGCAATTGTTAGAAACATACAATTTAAAGAAAATACTTCAGATTTAACTAAGAAATGCCCAGAGACCTGAAAGCTGCAGTATTAAAAGCTACGATAACTTTTGTAATAATTGGTACTTGTATGGTCAGCACAGTAATCGGACCAGGCAATGTGATGTAGTCATTGCGAGAATTCGCCTTGGTTATAGGCACATTTGGCAGGTTAGTGAGGTCGAGCCACTGCCAGAATATTCAGATTGTTAATTCTGTTACAAACCTTTAACGCATTCACTAGAACACTATATTGTTGAATGTGAAACCGTGAAAGATTATAGACCTCCTGGCTTATTGTACTACCAACTGTGTAACTATTTCATTGAATCTGATGTACTGGACGACATCTTAAAATTTTTTCCAAAATTTGCTTGTCCATTTTAAAGAATGAAGGACAATTTTATTTATATTATTGTTAAGCTGCATATGTTTTGAACTCATCCCTGCCCTTGTCTGGCAGTGCACAATAGAAAGTTGCATTTATATATTCGTACATTGAAATGTGTATACAGTATATAGTACAGTATAATGTAGCTGATTGCAACCATGATATTTATATTCTTCAGTATACAGTTTAGACCTTTTGACTTGTGTATGATCCTCTGTCCTGTGTGACAGTGATTACCACCATTATCCTCACTCTAATAAGATCTAATTCAATTCCTTAGATAAGGCAATATTGTTATTATTTTTTGTCAATAAAGATGTTAATAATAATGTTATTATGCCTGCTGTATTCCTTCTTCCCTCCAGTGAAGTGAGGTTTGGTTTCATCAGTTTTCTGCATAACGTAATATCATTACCTCAGAAATAAGCCCTTTTGCATATTTTTTAACCTTTCCAAGTTTTGTTTTGTGTTTATTTAGGTAAGGGGTTCCACGCCGGGGCAGCATGCTCAAAAAAAGGTCCCACAAAGAATGTATACAGCCCTCGGAAGGGATCTTTGTCCACTCCTACGTCATTTCCTTTTTCGGAAATTGGAAGTTGTCTTCCTTTCGTCCTATGATATATTTAAGGTCATTTTGCTTCAACAACTATCCTCATGGCTCTGCATGTGTCAGGGTTAAATGCTAGTAGCCATTTCACCAACCATCTCTGGAGATTGTCTAGATCATCTTGCAGTCTGAGTTCTTATTCGCATCATTAGCTTAACATCGTCAGCAAACATGAATAAGAATGAAGTTACTTCGTTTGTTAGATCGTTTACATGTATTAGGAACAGACTGGACCCCTAGTACCGACCCTTCATGTACTCGTTACCTCTCCATTCCGATAGCTCTCCTCTTACTATGACCCATTGCCTTCTTCATTCAAGTTTTTTTCCACCCAATTTATTACTTTTCCCGATACACCAGCCTGGTTTTCGAATTGCCTATAAGTCGCTTGTGAAGAACATAGTCACAAGCTTTCGAGCAATCCAGAAAAAAGGCAGTTGTTCCGTGCTCTCTCCTGTTTGATTTTTGTTATTTGGTCATAGAACTCTAATACGTTTGATAAGTAACATTTGCGTTCGTTGATTCCATGTTGATGATTGGCAACAAAATGTTTATGTTCTGAATGATCGACGAGCCTTAGTTTAATTAGTCTTTTTAATTTCTTACTTGGAATATAATATTCACTATCCAAATAACAGGCAGTTCCCACATTTCTATTGGAGAGTTGAAAACTATTACAAAGAGTACACACAATGATGCCTTTGCCTCTTTTAGGATCCATAGTGAGATCTTCTCAGAGCCTGCGGCTTTCATCCCATCCAGCTGCTCTAATTGTTTCTTTACTTCCTCTTGTGTAACTAATATCTCAATTAGGCTTTCTCTTGGTAGCGTCTGTTTCATTAGAAGTCTTATATCTGGGGACAGATCAGGTTCAGTCTTGAAGACTTCATTGAGTCTTTTATTGAGTTCTTGGCGCACTTCCTTACGAATCCTTGTGTAGCTTCCTCTTTTGTGCGGCTGGATCTTATGTTTATTTACCAACATCTTTATCCTTATGTCCCTATATAAAATAGTTTAGGCTGATTCTTTGCCCTGAATGCTATATGAGTCTTTCACACACACATACATACGCGCGCGCGCGCACTCACACACACACACACACACACACACACACACACACACATCAGCAAGACACACACATCCGTGCTACACACACGCAAGGCGGGAATGAGTTGCGTGTAACTGTCAGTGAGCGCGTCGTTACCGTGATGTGACGCCAATAACCCATGAAATGTAATGTGAGGGTTGGCGGCCTTGGCTCTGGCGCTGCTGACACGCCATACCCTGAGCCACACCCTGCGCCATATCCGTCACATCTCCCGGTCTCCCCCCTCCCTCTCTCTCTCTCTCTCTCTCTCTCTCTCTCTCTCTCTGTCTCTCTCTCTCTCTCACACACTACTTCGTATGCTTCCGTGTTTTTTCCGATAATAAATCAAAACACCGAAATCTCACCCCTAACCGAGAGAGCGACCGCTACGTGCTCACCGGGCCGCGGGGCCTCTGACCTGACCCGGAGCGCGGAACATGCGGAAATAAGCCGGGGATGGAAGCCGTCGTTGGAACACCCGTATCACTACCAATGTCTTAAAAAAGGGCCCCGAGGGTGAGTAAGAGCTGACAATAACCCCGCGCTCAACCGTCTCCGCCCGCCGACCTCGGAAATATTCCCGTTTACTGCACATAACCGAAACGACCCGAATGTGTTCGACATCATCCGAATGGTTGGGAGTCTCAGCCTTGTGGTTTCATCCGGATGGTTGGAAGCCTCAGCCATGTGGCTTCATCCGGATGGTTGGGAGCCTCAGTCTGGCGGCTTCATCTGGATGGTTGGGAGCCTCAGTCTGGCGGCTTCATCTGGATGATTGGAAGCCTCAGACTTGAGGCATCATCCGGATGGTTGGGAGCCTCAGTCTGGCGGCTTCTTCTGGATGGTTGGGAGCCTCAGTCTGTCGGCTTCATCTGGATGATTGGAAGCCTCAGACTTGAGGCATCATCCGGATGGTTGGGAGCCTCAGTCTGGCGGCTTCATCTGGATGGTTGGAAGCCTCAGACTTGAGGCATCATCCGGATGGTTGGGAGCCTCAGACTTAAGGCATCATCCGAAGGGTTGGGAGTCTCAGACTTGTGGTTTCGATGCCGGCTACTTTGATTCACAGCTGATCTCTCCTCCGTTATTCACTAGCGATGTGGCATGACACTCAGCCCCCCCACACACACCCGCTCTCCCACACAATATAGACGGCTACAGGTGTTAAATACGCCAGTGCTTGAAGGTAGAAGAAAAAAAGAGGCGATTTGATCACAACGTCAAAACATTAACAAGCATCGCCAAAATAGTACGAAGAATCGCCAAAATAATACCAAGAATCGCTAAAACAGTAACAAGAATCGCCAAATAGTAACACAAATAGTCAAAACTGACGATTTGTGTTACTAGTTCATAGATGTTTAAATTTGCTTGTTAAATCTTACATACAATATTGGTATTCTCGCACTCTTTGTGGCATATGTAAATTTCTGAGGATGTCGCATTATAAGATCTTATAATATGAAGGAAAGAGAAGTAATATGGTGTTTCATTTGATGGTGGAATTCTTTAACATACAATGGAAAATATTAATAAGAAATGGAAAAACTCATTCAATAATGTTTCTAGTGAACACAACACGGCACTCATAAAGGAATATGCTAGTACAAAACTCCTAGAATCTAGTACTGACACAAGAAGACTGCAAATTGTAGAAGCCCTACTTATAAGAGAAAAAAGACCCACCCTTAAATATTTAGAATAATGACTTCTTTTCCTTGCCGACGCTCAGACCCAGATCTCGCAATACATCACTGGTTATAGATACCGTCTATAACGGTTTCCCTGCCCACCGAGAGTACTAAAGTTATACACGATTTCTTAGCCTGTGTTTGAGGGGGCCCCCTTTGCCCGAAGTTTTAGTGGCCCTATCACCTCACCCAGTACTCGTGTCAAGGCTCTGTGGGAGTGGTGGGTGGCGGAGCCTCTGTGGGAGTTGTGGGTGGCGGAGCCTCTGTGGGAGTTGTGGGTGGCGGAGCCTCTGTGGGAGTGGTGGGTGGCGGAGCCTCTGTGGGAGTTGTGGGTGGCGGAGCCTCTGTGGGAGTGGGGATAAGTCTGACCTGCTCCCTTCAGATTTTGTACTCATGTTTCCTATGGGTTTATTTATTTATTTATATACAAGAAGGTACATTGGGTTTATTAGAGTACAGAGACCTGAAGTCTTACATTCTTGTAAAGCCACTAGCATGCACAGCGTTTCGGGCAGAAACGGTTTAGAGCTTCTTTATCATGAATTTTGGTAACTTGAATGCTCTTCTTAATACTAAGAACATAGCGTAGAAAGCTTTCACTATAAGAGAAACAACGCCAGCAATGCGGTCATATTAAACCAAACATGTTTAAAGGAACGATTGCTGCCTAAGGCATACAAATATATACAATGTATATATGTATGTATTTAGCCAGGACGCGATCACTAACAGTACTCCAAACATTACAAACATTTACTGCGACACTGGAGTAGAGGTCAATGTTTAGTCTGGACGCGAGCACTAACGGAAAGTAAACATTTTGCGCCTGACAATGTTACCGTTGCTCATCGAGCAGCGCTGACGCCATGAAAAGTACCTTGAGGCAAAACCTACTCTTTACTACGAAGGCAACATCGTCAGCATCTTCGTCAGGAGGACCTGACGAAGTTAAGAGCTTTCCAGCAGCAATCGCACAGGCCATAATCTTATTAACTGGTCGGCATAATCCCATAAATTACTGCAGGAACCTAACAAGATTGGTATTAGGATCCCATCCCTCCCGGCCTACACATTGCGGTTCTCAACTCCACTGAGCCTGCTCTGAATTGTCTCAACTCAACTTGGAAGTCTCAGGTGGGACAACTTACGAGAATCCGAAGGAAGCAGTTTTATTAAGATGTTCTGAAAAGAAGTCACAACAACGAGGTAGAAACAACAAACCCAACCCTTACATAAGAGAAGAAACATAAATGACGACGTTTCGGTCCATCTCGGACCCTTATCAAGTCCGGCTCTGTCACGACTCAAGTAGAGTCCACCTGGAAGGGCCGAAGCGTCGACACTTTCACATGTGTGGGTTGACTTATTCAATGGGAATTATTGGGATTGGATGCCCACATGGAGCTGGTAGGATGGGGATAGAGGAAATCTTGAATAAGGATTGAGGAGGTATAGAACAGTGGCAGAACCACTTTGACATTGTTGGTGACATACATACTTTGAAATGAAAGTGTGTGTGTGTGTGTGTGTGTGTGTGTGTGTGTGTGTGTGTGTGTGTGTGTGTGTGTGTGTGTGTGTGTGTGTGTGTGTGTGTGTGTGTGTGTGTGTGTGTGTGTGTGTGTGTGTGTGTGTGTGTGTGTGTGTGTGTCTGTGTGTGTCTGTGTGTGTGTGTGTGTGTGTGAGTGTGCGTGTGTGTATGTGTGTGTGTGTATCGACACTAATTACCAGGGGATACCCGATAATAATTACCAGGGGATACTCGACACTAATTACCAGGGGATACTCGACACTAATTACCAGGGGATACTCGACACTAGGGGTACTATTACGCCACTACTGACAATAGGGTAGTGATGGCTGTGAGGGGGATCAGGTAGGCTGGACGAGCGTTCTGAGTAGCTGAGGAAAGTCAACATAACCGAGGCATCCTGAGTGTTTAACTTTGGATTTAA